CGTAACATAAACAACGTAGTCACTGAGATAGAATTACAAAGGAAAGACCAAGTTAGAGTGATTGGAGCCAAGACCAGACACCAGAGGTCAAGGGGGGGCGTCTAGGCTACATGTACCGTCGGTAAAGGAAGCCGGAGTGGAGTAAAGCCATGTGCATGTAATGAACATCCATTTAAAGACGGATTTTTTTGCCTATTTCATGATCGCTTCTGAAATCATTCCAACACTACCCTTTGCGAAATGGGCGAACTTGGGCTCGAAGTGCTGATTCTGCATCTAGTGATTCCGAATGCAATCCATCCAGCATCAACCAGTGCTCCAAATAGAAGACTAAGTAATCACTGAGAAAGCAGAGGCCAAAATTGCTGCTGCAGTGCATATTATTATTATTATTATCTCGACGAGCTTCCTTGAAAGACTCTGATTGTCGTACTGGCATTGCATTGATAACATTAGGATGAGTAGCAGCAGGCTCGTGCGTGATGTCTTAAGGGTTCATGGGGGTAGCCAACTATCTTAAGGATGAGACCCCTACATTCTTCTCATGTGTTGTGTTAGGATGAATGACACAAAAGGGACAAACACGAAACTCACGACGTCTTATTGGATCTGTCGGTGCTTGTCTACACTGCGGTCTAATGATGCTGCGGTGGCTGCTGGGTGGGTAGATAGGTAAGCAGGAAGCAGATGCAGTTGTTCATCACACTGTAAAAGTATTTAACAAGAAAAAATGTTAAGACTTTAACAACTAAGCTTCTTCACCCCCCACCATCACTACTCCCAGCTGAAAATGCGGTCAACTTAGTTGGGGCAGTCACAATGGCACAATGCAGTGTAAAAGACTGTCCACTATCGTTGACTAGTGTAACTCGTATTTCACTGCCATTCGGCTGTCAGTTTCACCTCGTTGAGCACTTCACGCTATCCATCTCCCATCTTATTCCGTTAATGGAATGTGACACCAAAAGGTGTGCATGCACGGACAAGTATTTGTGGAAGCCAACTAGCTGACACTGACAGTGGAGGAAGGAAGCATTCTTGGGTAGGTGGATGAAAACATACGGACGCAACAACATCTCTGCTACACAGACTGATGGCAATCACGCGAACAGTTACAGAAGAAGGGACTTCGTTCCGCGCCATAGGCTATAAGAAGAGTGGAACCTACATTAGACACGTGCCTCTACGAGACAGGGCTCAATGCAGTTACTGCTAGCAATGGAGGAGTGGCAATTGAAACACCACCACTCTCTGTATCCACCTACCTAGGCATTTGGCTACACGTCACCTCACTTCACTGTCTGTCGCCTCAATTATACACTTCCCTGATGAAGCACTGCCTTAAAGAAGCCTCCCAAGGAGGATGCTACATGGATATGCAGACAATTTGGGGGGGCCGACTTTATAACGACGAATTGCCCTATATATACCCATGCACACGAATAAACACACTCACCGTTTTTCCGGTTGCAATGCGCCACAATGGGTCCTCTCGAAATAAGGTGCCCCCACCAGCTATGAGTTACCCACATGGTCGCTCGGTGGGCACACGCCGCACGGACCTCAAAGTTCTGGAAGATTTCACGTACGGTGACGAATATCACGCCGCCTACCCGATATGGCAGAGCACTTACTACTCCCCCTGAAATGCGTCGTATGTGCAGATGTGATGATTGGTGTCATCACTTAGAGCAGTGGTGACACACACGAGCTTGTCTATGTCTTTCGGAGCACCAAGTAAGTATTGAAGTAGCCCCACAACCACACCGAAGATTCCTGCCAATATCACACCCAGCCCTTGTGCATGTCTATAAGGTACCCCCACGCCTGGGAAATAATACGATCTCGACGATTAAACAAATGCCAACGTCAACGTCAAATGCAACACTGACTAAGGGAACAATAGAGACCACTCTGGCTTCTTCCTGCCTGTTGCGTAGTGGAAGCATTGCAGCAGTGCAGTGCAGTGCATTAGTTCTTGTTTTCAGTGTTCTGCGTCGCTTTTGCAAGATGGCAGACGATAGAATGATGCTGTCGGGTGTTTTTCATCGAGCATTTGATATTTGCTTGGTGCGGATGCCTTGGAGCCATAGACATGTGCAGGTGTGTTACGACTACTCCACATCATGACAATGATGTGCTCTTTGGCCTGTTGCACATTTACATATGTGTACGATGCATTTCCATTGCAGCGACTATTCCTTTCCTACGTCAAGTGGGCACATGAACATGCACGGAACACAGAGCCCTCCTCCTCCTCCCCCTCTTCCCCTCTTCCTACTCTTCCTCCACCTCCTCCTCTTCCTCCTCCTCCTCCTCCTCCTCCTCCACTCCTGCAAATGTCCACGTCCGAAGTTGTCCTCAATACCAGCATGTAAGCTAAAGCAATGCAGGACGTCATGCGCACCCACAAGCTTGATGGATGGTTGTCTAACCGGCAGAATGGCTAGATGGGTGAAGGTTTGATAGTCACTACACTGCCTCTCTTAGGCGTATTCACAGTGTTTGATTGGCCATGACATTTAAGTGGCTACTTGTAGAATTAGATCATGTCTCTGCTCCATACCAGCCAATGGGGAGGGCCGCAATAGAAGCGCAAATCTCCAAAGCGTTAGGCGATGAGCGTTTGAGTAAAGATTACGAACATATTGCTAAATCAAAGTATAGAGAAGTAGGAGCTTCAAAAAAAATATATGAGATTGAAAGGTGGAGACAGGAACGATTTCTGCGCCTGCTGACACCTTTCCAGAAACTCATTTCCTTTCCCACACTTTATTTACGCGCTCAAGAACTACCAAGCATGAAGGATCAACAAAGCGCTCAACACTCAGCATTGAAGGCTTCGCATGCCATGGATGGTGGACGGAGGCAGTTGTAGAGCTTTTCACCACTTAAGTGAATCAGTTGGTTCGGTGTAAAATAGTAGTAAGGATCAGGTCTCAAAAGCCTCTTAACCGCACTGATGATCTGCCATTGACGAAGGCATCGTACTCTATCATAGGGACGAGGAACGCAGTAGGGCCCTTGAATTCATTCAACTTCTGCAAGCCTCCACTTCTCTAAACAGCCTTTCCACAGGCAGACACGCGGTAAGTGATTTCAATTGAACGATTTCTTATTCTTGCCTCCTCCACTTTATCTGGTATTCTTTTATCTTCCTTCGCTTCAAAACCGATGTAGGCGCAAGATCTTCAGGAGGTAGCACCCACTTGCCTCAAATACAGTTAGTATAAATCATTTATGTGGGAGGGGAAGACAAATTCATACTGATAGCGCCAGTCGACTAAACCGCATATTCATTAGTGATAAAGGCGATGGGGAGGGAGCGAGGGAGAGGGAGGGAGAGGGAGGGAGGGAGGAAGGTAATGAAGAAGAAGATGAAGGAGAAGGAGAAGGCGACGATTTGGCCGAAGAAGTGGTAGGAGAGCAGGAGGAGGAGGAAGAGGAGGAAGAGGACGAGGATGAGTTGGGGGGCACAAGTGTGTGTGCGGGGTGGGATAGGAAGCAGGGAGTGAGGATTTACTGCGGCGTGAGTCACATACTTGTTTATAGGTGACAAGCCAGAAGCAGGGCCACAGGCAAATGGAGAGGCAGAGGTGGAAGCACGGGTAGAAGTGGAGGGTGGAGGCTGACTCTGCGTCGTCATTTGTACTCAACAAGTATGTACCTCCTGCATGTGCAATTGCAAAGCCACCTCATCTCCCCTCACCGCACCTCATTGCATGCCTCATGTATCACTCCAGCGATTGCGGCACAGAAGCAGCGTCCTGCACGGAGTGAATGGAGTACGACGACGACGACGTCTGATCAGCGCTTTTGTCCATGGTCACTGCAATGAAGTTTGGGACGGTGGCATCTAGGCGTGAGGAACAAGAAGTGAGAGATGGCAGCGAACCATCAATCCTGATGCCCGAGGTACATGGAATGTGTTCAGTGCATGTGGAAAGGTAATATTGTCCTGCGCAAATCTATAGGTGAATAAAGCAATGGTGGTGATAATTCAGTTGGATGTGGCTGGCGGAAACGCTTAACATACTGCGCTGTCATATTCATGCTAAAGAACAGTTGGCAGATGTATGAATTGACTGACCTATTAGGTGGTCGGCTGACTTTCGAATCGGGTGCAAATAATTGTGCTAGTTCATTTCAATTTTCCTTTGACTTTACCAAACTCCGAAACCCATCAACGTTTGGGTCTAACTGCCTCTCACTTCCTTACACCTGACGGATGTGGAGATTTGGTTAGTGTTAGCACATACTCAACGACAGCCATCACAGTTGAATGCTCAAATCCATCGCACTTTAAATGCTCTTTCACAGGACAACTACAACATGCTCTACTCAAACCGTTTGACAACCGCCTCCACTCCACATCCCGCCCTGACCTCCACATGCTCATCCAGGCCGATACAGATGCTGAATACGGATGCAGATTTCTGATACCCGATACACCCCTCTCCTTTTCCACGTTCTCTTTATCCTCATGAACAAATCTGTGTCAAAGTATGCTGCTGCAGGTCAAGAACATGACCACAAATTGTCGTTCGTAGCTTGCGTAAGGTCAAGAATGCAAAGTAGGGAGCCAAATCATCCAATGGATGCTGTGACAGGAGGTGCGTGTTGTGGTGCGATGAGGTGCGATGCAATGTGATGCGTCTTCCAGCATGAGAATTGACCGATGGTCTGGAGGCTGCACCCGCATTGTGGTGGAGCTGGAACGACAACATGGGGTAACAAGTTTTGCCTGTGCATTGCATTAACAAGGGACGATGATGTGGCAGTGGTGTTAATGCGGTCCACAGACCCAAAGTCGCCGTCCCAGTCATCCGTGCAGTGATCCTGTGCTGCAAACAGAATAATTTGTTTGCAAACAAAGGCTGAATGACTGCTGTCACAGTGACGGACATGGGTATTGAACAGTCCTGCAGGCGCGTCGAGGGGTTTTAGATGGTGCCAAATCGCAGCAATACCGGGGTCAGCTCCCTTCACGAAGGGTGCCACAACTCGATGGATTCATTGGCATTTGTCGGTCACGACTTGAGCTTCAAAAGTATTGACGGCGAATGCAATCATGGAGCAGCAGGGAAAGCATACCTCATTCATGAATGGAATATTCAACTGCAGCTACTTCCCCTTCCGTAATTCTGTGTCGTTACAGCCATTTCGTCCTACTTACAATAAAATCTAGGATCCATGAGTTATGCATAACAGTACTTATTCCAAACGTCACCTCTAAATGTCCTTGCACTAATTCTGTTGCGTTGTCTTCTCCATCCACTGCACTTGTACAGACTGTACGACACTCATTTCATCCTAAGACTAACCACAGAACTGTTCACATGTCAGTATTAGTAAAGTGCTGGCACGGGTGGCGAATGTGCGAAACCTGCATTCGTCCCTGACTTGTACTGAGGAGAGTAGTTAGGTGTTGCCGCAGAAAGGGTAGAGTATTTGAGGATGGCGTTCCGAGTCGATGCTTGTCCAGTTTAATAGAGGGTGAGTGGACACACAGAATTTGGGCTACTGCAAATAGGGTGGAGTTGGTTTGTTGGACATCCACGCGTGTATATTCAATGAAGAAGAGGTATGTGAGTTTGGACACGTCTTCGTCTTCCATTCATAACGTGCTTCGAATGGATGGGTGAAGTGGTCGAAGTAAAAGTGGATGCACCTGTTATTTCCAGTTAAAGTAATTCATAGCTTCAGTAGAATCTTCATTGTCAACTTGGATTAATTCTGATACACATGGTGTGTGGCGTATATTCATGAAGTACCAGCCTCATCTCACCACTCCGCGCACTGGACATTCAATCAGACTAACAGGTGCCTCGTACACTTTACCATCGCATCCATCTCGCAATCCACCAACCATTAGAGCAACAAAAATATCGCTGAGTGAATTTTAGACAAGCTGAGCATCTGCGGGTTTTGACAAGCATTATTCTACTGCAGGTGCATGACACAAGAGACCCTGGCGTCTCGAATGTCACCGCCACTACACGTCAAATTCGACTCACATTTGCATCACACAAGTGAAAGCTGCAAGTTAATAGCTGCTCACTCTCAGAGTTTGCAGGCAAGGCGTGCGCACCCTCCACATTACTAGAGTGATGCTTCACCATCTCCTGGAGTGGAAGGCAATCTCGCCGACGCGATCGGATTGTAGCAACTGCACGGTTGGTCGTATGCGCGCATCTGCTGAATTGTTGTGAGTCACAGCGACTGCCTCTCGCGGACATTGTGTGCACTGCATAAAATCAAGGTGAAACAATTTGTGGACAGGGTGGCAATCTTGCTGAATTCGGAGGAGGACGTGCAGGAGGGGCGGGATAATAAGCATGTCTTGTGCGTGAATTCTTCCTTTACTATCTGACAATCTCCCAACACACAGCACAAACATCCACCACCTTCAGCTTGGCTCGCTCTATGGGCATTTTGACTAGATGCACGAATTAGACGGAACTGCAAATCTCGGTCAGTGTAGAATTGGAGCAGACAAAATCTGCCATCTACGCATGCCATTGATAGTGCAGCTCCTCATCTCCGCACCATGTCAGCCAATCGGAAAGGAGAGAACAGGGGCACCACTCCCACCCCTCTGCAATATCCCGTGTATGATGTAAGCATCAACAGCAACACCCTTCTCGATTCGCAGGCATCCGCAGCACAAGATGCGTGGGTGATACCATCAACCCGCCACTATCATTAAAGATAAGTGGTCACTCCTGCCTGTCCAAAGCATTGCGTAAAGAGGTTGATGAAGGTGGTGCAGGCAGTAGGTGGCAGGCATATGGCCACCCTGGACCGTGGATTAATGTGCTGGCAACTGAGGGTGAAGTACCACCGTTGTAAAATCTTCCACCTTCGAGTTGAGGTGCTCATGCAGATGCCGATTCTCTTAACTTGTGGCCAAATTATGTTTGAGGTATTTGTATCAAGACGCTAGCAA